GGCAGCCGAGGCCGAGGGCGCATCGGGCCTCGCCCAGCTTCTGGCCGAGCTCGGCCACTTGGTTCGCAGCGACCTGCACAAGGTGCGGCGGGAGGTGCAGCCGGCTTACTCGGCCGCCGGCCTCCCGGCGTGGGAAGCCTACCTGCGCGCCTTCCACGGCGCGGTGGCCCAGCGCCTGCAGGAGCTCGCGCAGGACGCCCGGGGCTGCGAGCAGCTCTATGTCCTGCTGGACTGGGCGGCCAATGTCTACGGCAGGTGAGGCCCCAGCCAGAGCGCCGCGGGGGGGGGGGGGGCGGAGGGGCTGGCACTGCCCGCCCGGAGACCTTTGGGAGCCCCCCCGCCCCCGGCTCTGAGGAGCATGGGGCACTTTTCTTCTCTCTTTCCTCCCTGGGAGAGGCTGGTGGTTGGGCGTCCGAGATCCCTGGGACTTGGACATCCTTTTCTTCCTGCTCTGGGCCATGGTACTCTCCCGTCAGGATTTTCTTAAGGGGCCACCCATGCACCTGTTCCTGAAAGCAGGAAAGCATCTGAAGGGAGTCCAGGTAGAGGGCTCATGCTAGTCCACAGGGCACCTGTGTGCATTTACAAAAGGGCAGCCCTCCAGGCAGGACACGGCTGCGGATCACAGATGCTGGGCATGGGTTGGATCTCACCGCCACTCTTCCCTTTGGACGGGCACCTAGGTACAGGGCCCAGCCTGTTATCAGCTCCCACCCCCAGCTCTGCGCGGTGTGATGGGGTGGATTGCCTTTGCTGCTGAGCACTCCTCGGCTCTGAAGGCCAGAGAGCAGGTGGGAAGAGGGTGACTAAACACTCCTGGGTTCATGAATTGGCTGTGTGGCCTCAGGCAGGTGCCCATCACTCTCTGGACCTCCCTGGCGTGGGCTGGAGAGTGGCAGATCCCTGAGCTGTGTGGTGCTTGGTGATGGTGTCAGGCTTTGGCCAGGGGGAAACTGGGACAGCCGCTAGGCCCTCAGCCCCTCCCCTGCCTTCCAGTCCTGACTTCCTGGGTGCCCCGGACCTGACTCTGTCCACAGAGCCACTACCCCCACTCCTGGCACCTGCCTTGTGGGCCCGCCTGCAGAGTGACTACACCAGCTTCCTAGAGGTGAGGCCGGGGCAGGGCCAGGCCTGAGGGGCACGAGCCAGGTTGAACGTGGCTCCCTCACTGTGGGGAGGTGTGGCACCCAGAATCACCCTGGGTCGGTGGCCCTGGCTCAGGCCAGAGCCACTTCTCACCCTGTGGCCTTTGGCATGGGCCTATGCCCTGGCAGGGTGGTCCTTTTCTCCAAGGGCACACGACAGAGTGCTGGAGGTAGGGGAACTGGGACCTCCTTCTTGGGAGGGTCTCACTGTGCCCCTCTCCCCACCTGTCACAGACCAAGATCACGAGCTGCTTCGATAGCATCCTGCAGCTAGAACAGAGTCGTTGGGCGGACGCTAAGGCCCCCGATGTGCTACAGGGCCTCTACCACACACCGCTATCCGTTGATGTCCACATGGTGAGCCTCAGGAGGAGGGATGTATATTTGGGCCCCTGGTGGTGTTTGGTCCCCCTTGAGGTGAGGACACCCAGAACTATACAACCCAGTCCCAAACTCCCTTCCCCAGTAGCCGAGAGCCTGAGGACCCACCTGGGGCGGAATCAGGGACCCCGGGTCTCCTGCCAGCTTGGGAGCCCCGGGGCATAGCGCCCAGCTTAGCCAGTGGCCGGTGGATGTGGGGAGTCGGGAAGAGCTTCTGGAAGCTGTAGCCGAGATGGGGAGACGTCGCTGGGCCACAGGTGGGGGACAGGGGGCGTCGGGATCTGGGCTCTGATGTGGGTTCAGCGGGCGGCATCTCTTGCAGCTCGTGGCAGAGCACGTGAAGGCGGCTGGTGCCATCTCTGCGGAACTGGAGGCCACCACCCTGTGCATCTGCACGCGGGCGCTCAGCCTCTTCTTGCCCAGGTGCGGGCACATCCTCCCCACCAGGATGGGTGGGTGGAGTGGCCAGGGTTGGACGGCTGTCGTCCCTGGGGGAGGGCCCAACCTGCTTGCTCAAAGTCTGAGATCCCGGGACAGGGGAGAGGAAGGGGCCTCGTTATAAGGCTGGGGGTCTGGGTGGGGACCTGAGGGGAGGGCGGACCCTGGGTCATAGCGCCTCCAGTAAGGGTCCCTATGCCCTCTGCATACTTCACCCCCAGGTTTGAAAAGGCTTTTCTAGAGTCGAAGGCAGTGAACGAGCCTCATCTGGGCGCCAATATCAACGCCTGCGAGGAGCTCAGGTGGGTCTCCCCGCTCCTCCGCAGGGGAGGTGCCCGGAACGGCCAGCAGGGGGCGCGCGAGCTCGGGGAGCGGGGTAGAGTAAGCTCCTGGCGGCCAGCGCAGGGGAGAAGAATCTGGCGCCGGCGGCCGCCTTGGGGGACTTCCCAGAAGGCCTCCATGGATGGCCCCCCTCTCCGCTCCCGCCCCCGCTGTGAGGTCCTCCCTCCGCCCTGCAGAGCTGGGGCCCTGGAAGGGACGCAGGGAGTTTCAACGCTGAGCCGAGGCTAAGTTCCAGCCACCCCAGTCATGGCCGTTGCCTGCCCAGTGTGTCCCACGCCACCTTGGGCTCCTTTCTTTCCTCCCTTCATCCAAGTTAGCCATCTTCCTTTTCAGGGACACTCCCTTCTCCGGGAAGCCCTCCCTGACCCTCCGTCCCCCCTCCCCTCTACCCTGGGGGTGGCACCTGGGTCCCTTGGCCCCAAAAGCAGAGCCCCCGCTTTCTGCTGGCAGCAGCAGCCCCCCTTCTATGCTTTCAACACCAAGACCAGCTTCAGTGTTCCCACATGTGGAGGCACCAGCAGCTATGGGCGTGGACTTTGAGTCACCCCGGCTGGGCTCCCATCCCAGCTCGGCCACCTGCTCGCTGTGTGCCTCGAGATAAGTCACTTCCCTCTCTGTGCCTCCTTTTGTCATCTGTGAAACGGAGATCGGAGCACCTGCTCCCGAGGGCTGCATGGGGACTCAGTGCCTTAGAGGGATCATTTTGCCTTCAGGGTTACTACCCCGTGCAGCCCTAGGGGCTGCCCTTCACATTCTAGTCTAAGTGACTGGAGTTGGTGTGGCACCTAGCCTCCATGGCTGTATGCCAGAACTCGTTCCACAGCCTGCTCCTCCTTGCCCACTTCCTCCCCTGTCCTGGCCCCTCCCCAGGACCCATCTTCTGACCAGGTTCCCAGGAACCTTTGAAGAACTGGAGAAACCTCTAGTGGCTGCCACCTGTACCTTCCAGAAGCGGCTGCTCCAGGGCCTGCAGTGTGATGTGCAAGTGAGTGCGACTTCCCTCCCCACTTTCCACACCCAGCAGGTGCTACCTGTGCCCTGGAGCCCGGGGGGCCAGTTCGTAGCATTCACGTACCCCCGGGGCAGCTTCAGGGGTGGTACATTGTGGGGCGGGCAAGGGACCTGAGCTGAGCAGTGAGGTCAGGAGACACCTACTTACTTCAGTCTCCGCCTCTCAGAGAAGGTGGGTCAAGGAACCAGACCCCTCACCCAGCCCATCAAGGCCTCCCCAGGTTCCCCTCAGCAAGGCCTGCCCAGAGGCTCAAACTCAAACCCTGTCCATTGGAGCTCAGGGCCTGGAGGAGGCATTCCTGCCAAAGGCCTAGTGACATTCGTGGCCGAGAGAGGAAATGTTACGAGGGTGACTTTAGAAAGGAGTCAGATAGCCCCTCCAGAGTTTCTTCCCAGGAACAGGTTGTCCTTTGGCCTGAAACGCCCCATGAGGAGCCAGGCACTGGGCTCTGAGGGGAGGGTCTGGGGAGGAGGAGGATACGGTTGGAAGACTCCTGTCCCCCTCTGCTCCCAGCCGCTTTTCAGGGTCCTGTGCACCAAGGCCTGGCTGACACAGGACGTGCTGCAGCCGATCATGGACAAGGTGGTGGCCTTTGCCCGCCATTTGGAGCACGTGGCCCCACTGCGGGCGCAGGTATCTCAAGGCAAGGGCTCTGGAGGGGACGCACCCTGGGCTGGGGCTGTTAGCTCTGACTGACCCTGACCCTGCTCCCTGGCCCGCCCAGGAGACTCTGCAGGAGGTGCATCGGTACGTGGTCCGTGAGTACCTGGCCCAGGTGCTGAGCCCGCGTGAGCGGTTCCGGGGTGAGGAGCGCATGACTGGCTCCCAGAAGATGGGCCTCGACAGCCAGGCCATTGGCGATACCTTCCAGGGCTTGGTAGGAGCATCAGCTGACGGCCCCAAGTGCTTGCCTCCTCTAGGGCCTCTGGCCTGTGGACCCTCCACTGGCACCCCCATTCCCATTTTAGTGGCCTCCGCAAGAGCCCCCGCGGGGTGGGCTTTGGCAGAAGTGGCTCTCCCCACTCTCCATCAACCAGGAGAGGGATTGGGGGTTCTGGCATGGCTGGGGCGGGGCCAGGTGGAGGTCATCTCCATATATTTGCATACAGTTGGGGGGGTGAGTAGGGAAGGGGCGGGGCCTGTGGGAGGCTTTTCCAGCACCCCTGACCCAGCCGTTGGAGCTGAGGCACTTCATACACACACACCCCTTATCTGGGCCGTTGGTCCCCCACAGGCTGTAGGATTCCGGGCAGTACTTCCGGGCCAGGGCCTCAGTTTACCCATCTGAGCAGAGATGGGAAGACGTCTCTGCACTGTATCGTGGGAGGGGAAGACGAATATTGCTCCGTGGCTGAGTCCACAGCACCAGGCCCGAGTCCCCAGTCACAGCGGGGACACGGTGGTGGCTGCAGGGGGCGGGCTTGCTGTGCCCTGTGGAGGGGTTGCGGGCATGGATGGCAAGGAGGCTCCCCGGGCAGGTGGCCGGTCTGGCACTGTCTCCGTGTCTCCACAGGGCTCTGAGGCCACGTGGCTGGACCAGGCTATCCCGTGTGTAGCTGACATCCTGGGCGAGACTTACAAAGACGACATCCGGAGGCACCTGGAGACACTCATCGGGAGCTACCCTGACATCAGGTCCGTTACCCACCTGCTCCCTCACTGGGCGCCGAGGACAGAGCACCGCCAGGCCCGGGGGCGGGGGGCGGGCAGGGACCCTTCAGAGGGTCCCTGTGGTTCTAGGTGGGCAGGTGAGGAGCCACAGGGAGGCACAGCTTGTTCCAGTGGGGAGGGGAGCCACGGTGCAGGTGGGGTGGGCACCCCCCCCCCGCCGCGGGCTACTATGTGCATGTGCGTGGGGACCTGGGGACGGTGGCCCCTGACCTTCAGGCCGGGGTGGGGGTGGGGCGGAGGAGCGGGGGCTGCCCCTCCTTCAGAAGCTATTCTTGGCCATTCTCCTTCAGTGCCGTGGGGTGGGGAGGACCCTAGAGCCTGGGGTGGGGGTCGGGGTCCGGGCCCCTTCCTGGTCATCAGGCGTGGAGACAAGTACCCGCATCCGCGAGTCTGAAGGGGAGGGGCAGCCCTCTCTGCGAGAAAGCCCTGTTGGGAGCCCGACTCCTGACACCAGCCAGGAGGAAGGAGGCTTTGATCCCCGGGCGTGTGTTGGGGGGAATGGTGAGTCATCGATCCTGTGGAAATTCCAGCCCGAATCTCTCCCTAGCCTTGGAGATTCCAGGATGGAGAGGCCACAGAGAGCCCCGGGCAAAGCCCTTTTCCCCAGCCGGGACTGTCTCTGCCTTTGGCTGGAAATGACTACCCCTCACAGCTCAGGGGTTTCCGCCCTGGTCCCTGGGGTTCCCCTACACTCAGCCGGCTCTGCCCTCTGGGGGGCAGGAGGAGGGACTCCGTCCATATGCTGCTGGGCCAGGGCTCCCGCAGTGCCTCTCTCCCTGCTGCATGTCCGTGTGGCTCCCTGCACAGTGGTCTCAGGAAGAGGCCTGGGACATCTCCTGGCCTGGACCGGCTCTCCTTGAAGCCGTATCACTCCCTCGCTCACTCCTCCACTGTTTCTTGAAGCTCAGCTTAGACTGTTTTGCCTGATGGGCATGCCCCTCCTCCTCCCCACCCAGCTCCACACCCTTGGAGCCCCAGCCACCCTGTCCAGGGGCACTGCCCGCCCCCCCCACACCGGCCTTGGTCATTCTTGGCCTTTCTCGGTCCAGGCCCCAGGAATGCCAGGTGCCCCTGTACTTAAGGTTCCCCTCACTTAAGGTTGGGACTGCCGATGGAGATGTTGGGCCTACGGTGACCGGGGCGTGTCTTTGCAGGCGGGACCATGTGCTGGCCATTCTGGCTCTGCGCAGACTGGGCCGCCGGCGGAACCAGCGGCTCCTGCAACATGCCCAGTACCTGCTGAGGGCTGCGGCCGAGGCGGGCGGCTCCGGGGCTGCTGGGGGACACGTGCTCTTCGAAGAGATCGAGGTGCCTACCTCCATGGACCTGCTGATCACCTGCATCTAATGCTCCTGGGTCTGACAGGGGGCGGGCTCAGGTGGGGGGCTGCATCAGCTAAAAGGTCTAAGCCCCAAGCTTGGAGCCCAGGGAGGCACGCTCAGCCCCACTCCCAACCTTGAAGCCCATCATAAGGAATCCTCATCCTCAGCCCTGCGCGGCTGCTTACCAGAAGGCACGGCAAGAAGAGAGGCATTTCAGGCATGTGTGGGGGAGTGCTTGGGGTGGCAGAGGTTCCCTTCGGTACAGCCCACCCCCTGCCTCCCTGCCTAACTGTCCAGCACCACCCCCAGTGTGAATGTGAAGACCAGAGTATTTATTTTTAAAATAAAGGTGAATTAAAATGTGCCTCCCTAAAGAGGGGGTGGGTCCGAGTTGGCCAGGAGCAGGAGGTATGGGTCCCCATGTAGTGAGGGGTCAGGATGGAAAGTTCTGTGATGACTCCATTTGGTTGATGGACCTTTCCTGCCCATTGTACAAATGGGGAGACTGAGGCAGGTCCAGAGCTGGGAAAGCCCGTGCCTATGGCTGTGAGGATTAAACAGCCTTTAACCCTGGGATCCTGGGTCCACTGGCCTCATGGGCCAAGTGAGCCTCACTCAGCAGGGGTGGGCACTGTTCTGTCGTGTTCTAAACAGGCCTGGGCTCCTGGTCTTGTCTCCTGGGAGACAAGAAAAGGCCAAGGCATGTTCTGCAGCTTGAAGTATTTGGGTTAGATGTAAGAGGGACTTTCTAGCAGGGCAAGTGTCACCCAAGGAGTATGTGGGGAGGGTGCTGATCCTGCTGGCCTCAGCTCTGCAGGCGGAGCTGCAAGGAGATTGCCCCAGTGTGCACCTGTCCCCCCCCCGCCCCCCCTTCGCTCCCAGAAGGCTGGCACTGGAATTTGACTCCAGCCTCCTGGCAAGGCTACAAGGAAACTCATTTGCATGAGCAGCCTCCAGCTTGCCAGGGAGGCTGAGCGCTGAGATGGTGGGGGGAGACACTGAGACGGGCAGCCGTGGGTGCCTTCCCACCGCCCTTCTGCAGCAGACCAGCGGCTCTCTGAGCCTGACCTTGACCCCGGCAGTGGTAGGAGGCAAGTGACTGCAGGTGGGCCAAGGTTCTAAGAACCCAGGGATGTTGAGTCTCCTGAGCACAGGGCGAGGGTTCTAACAGACTGCAGGCCCAGGCAGGTGGGGGTAGGACTCTCCTGCCTCCCCCGGGCCCACCTCCCCACACCACAGACAGCGAGGGGCAGTGCCCGGGCAGGTCTGCCACGGCCCCTATGCCAAGGCTGGAGAACACAGCCAGATCTGAGTGTTGTCGGGGTCCTGAAGGGAGTGGAAGCAGGTACCAGGGGCAGCCCCCTCCACGAATACCTGGGGGCTGGGGGTCAGGGGTGGGGCAGGAAGGAGGCTGAGGGGGTGTCCAGACCTCCCTAAGCGGGGAACCCAGTGGGGTGGGGCAGGAATGAGGATGAGGAGAGGCTGCGGTTCAGTTTGCAGGCTCCAGGCCGGGGCGGGCGGTGGGGGGGGGGCTGTTCCGGCGCTGCTGATGACAAGCAGTTGTCGTGTCTTTCCTCTGTGGGGAAACTGAGGCCCACAGAGGGTGGAGGTTGCTGCACACCAGGCCCCAGCACAGGTAGCCTGAGACCCTCAGAGCCAGGGGGAAGGGAGGTGTTGGAGGGGCACCGCCTGGGTGGGGTGGGCTGTAGGAGGGCTGGATCAGATCCTGTCCAGGTTCTCCCTAGGAGCCCATACCCCATGTTGGAGCCCCAGTCGCCTCGTGGAAGCCTCCTCCTGCAGCCCCTGGCCCTGACCCTAACAGGCCTGGCCCTGCCTGAGCCCCTTGGCTGGAGGCTGAGGGTCCCGGCGCTGGGTTTCCAAGACAGGTTGGAGAGGTAGGGAGGGGTTCAGTCCCAGCCATGAGACAGCAGGCAAATTCCTTTACTTCCCTGTGCCTCTGTTTTCCCTAGCCATGAAATGGGGGTGCTGTCTGTGCCCCCCGGGCTGGGGAGGCTGAAGTATAAGCCAGCCTGAAAGCCAGAACCCTGGCCCTCCTGTCACCCCGTGTGCCCGGGGCCCGGCCAGACCATAGTCTGCAAACAGAAGCTAAGCGGTTCTGGGCAGGAGTGGGGGTGCTCTGAGTGGTAGCGAAGCCTGAGGTCTGTGAGGTCGGTGAGTGGGGCAGGTGCCCGGGAGGAGGCTGGGAAGAGGCACTGAAGCTGAGGAGCTGCTCTCTGACAGGAGCTTCCTGCCTCAGTGGAAAGGGTTCAGGCTGAGACCCGGGCCATCTTCCTGAGCGCGTCTGGGCCTGGAGACAGGAAGTCAGGTTTTCCTGGCTGGAACCTTCATGCCCAAGCGGGTATGTGTGCGTCGTGTGTGTTCCTGTGAGCCTAGCAGTGTCTGGACACTGGGGCTGGCTTCCCGAGATTAAGTTGGGATGAGCAGAAAGCTGGATAGCAGCTCCTACGAAGGTGGAGTCAGGAAGGCTGGGGCCCAGAGGAGGACCAGACCAAGGGAGCCGGTGTTTGGCCATTGACCATTCTGCCCGAGACCCTCCCGTTCTCCCTGCCCACCAGGTCCTAGGAGGCCTTGCCGAGAGTCTAGCGTATTTCCTTGGCCATCCTGTTGTCCAGGCCAAGCATGGGGGAGGGGCCGGCGCTCAGAGGGCAGCTTCCGGACTTGTGGGCCAGGTTGTCTGGCTGATAAGGAAGCCCGTGTGCATGTGTGTTCCTGCAGTGCCTGGGGATGGAGGAGCCATGCCCAGTGTCTGTATTCCCCTGCATTCTGGAGCAAGACATCCTATTTGCCCCCAGAACTTGGGTCCTGGGCCCTACCAGCTGATCCCTGGTGTCATCTCTGCCTGGCCACTCTTTCTCTGGCATAGCTCCCTGCTCTTTCTCCTCCAGCTCAGCTTGGCTTCCTTCAGTGCCACACTTCCTGGGGCTCCTTCATGGATCGGGGGTTGCTTCTGGTCTCTGGCCCCGAGCCTGTGGGACAAACAAGGCCCCCTCTAGCAGTTTTTGGGACCCCAGCCCAGCCTGGGGAGGGCAGTGAGAAAGTGCAGAGGGGCATCCTGCCCAGGGCAGAGGGCTCAGGTCCAAGGACACGATGGGTACCACAGCCTGCCAGTCCTCTGCCAGGCCAAAGACAATCCTGGGGTGTCGGGAGGGGATCTGAGTGCCCCTACCCCTAGCTCAGCCTGGGACTTGTGCCTTCTCTGGGTACCTCTCCCTGCTGGTCCCCTGGCGCTCAGGCCCAGCTCCCCTCAAGCGTGTTGTGTGTACACACCCACGGGGCCACACCAGGCGGGAGGAGTGTGTTCAGGTCTCGGCCCTGCCCTCCTCTTGCCGATGACCATTTCCACTCAGAGGCTCCGTCTCCTCTGAGGCACGGGGTAGATGAGAGCATCCACAGGTCCTGGAAGCGTCGCGTCAGCATGTCGTCTCCGTGCCTGCATAGTCTCTCCCTCTTCCTTGTTTGCCTGGTGACCCCAGCCCCTTCCTTCCTGGCCCCACACCTCATGGGGTCAGCATCCTCATCGGCCAGGATGCGGTCCTTGCAGGCCCCCACCACTGCAGGGGAGGGGAGAGGAGGAGGCTGCAGCATTCCCAGGGTCAGCCCCCATCCCATCGTCACTTCCTTCCTTTGCTACCATGAGGTCCCTCTGGGAATTCAGCAGGCCGGAGGGGCCCTTCTCCTCGTGGAGCTCTGGGCAGTGGGCCTGTGCGCAGGTCTGGGGAGACCAGGATGCTGCTGACAAGGGCCAGCCTCGCAGAGCCCTGGCTCTGGGGGAATCAGCCCCCTGCCCCCGGTGGCGGTGCAGGCCCTCCTTGCAGGGGAGATGTGCCGGGGGCCAGGAGCTCCCACGGGTGAGTGCTGCCAGGGTCTCAGCCCAGCCTCCCTGGGCCCCCTCCTCTGGTGAAATGGTTGGAAGGGACGAACCCCAGACAAGTCAAACCCACCCCTGGGTCTGCTTCTCTCCTGGGACCTATGGGGCCTGGACTAGTCATTGCAAAGACTTTCCTCTTCGCAGGATTCCCGTACTGTGTCTGCACGCATACATCCCCACCTCTTGGTGGCCTTTAAAAGGTATTTGTTAGATGTTTCCAGTGTTGTTGTTTTTTTTTTTTTTAAGATTTTATTTATTTGACAGAGAGACACACAGTGAGAGAGGGAACACAAGCAGGGGGAGTGGGAGAGGGAGAAGCAGGCTTCCCCCGGAGCAGGGAGCCCGATGTGGGGCTCGATCCCAGGACTCTGGGATCATGACCTGAGCCAAAGGCAGATGCTTAACAACTGAGGCACCCAGGCGCCCCAGGACCACAGTTTTTGTGTTTTTTTTTTTTAAGATTTTTATTTATTTATTTGACAGAGAGACACAGCGAGAGAGGGAACACAAGCAGGGGGAGCGGGAGAGGGAGAAGCAGGCTTCCCGCCGAGCAGGGAGCCAGATAGAGGGCTGATCCCAGGACCCTGGGATCATGACCTGAGCCGAAGGCAGCCGCCCAACCGACTGAGCCACCCAGGCGCCCCAGATGTTTTCAGTGTTTAACTCTCATCATGTTTTGGATAGCAACACCATCACATAGCTCAGAATTTAAAAAGTACAAAAAAGTTATACGGGGAGATGTCTCCTATTTCCATCCCTCGTGTCCTTCCCCAGAAGCAACCAGGCCTCCTCACAGGATAAGAAGCAATGCTCATCCAAGGAATGTTCGTGAATAATGAAGTGTCAGGTGCTGCTGAGGCACCTGGGTTGGGGGAATGGGGCAGCCCCTCTTGAGCGCTGCTGTAAAAGCAAATGATAAAGAACCTAATGCTCTTACATTGACAGAATCCTCAAATAATGAAATCTCAGGATCTTGGAGAAGAGGAAGGTCGTGAGAAGTCCTGCCATTTCTGGGGCACCCACCGTGTGTGCCTGGCTGTGCTCGCTGATTCATGGCTTTCCTCCTTCCCGTGGATTCGGTGCAGGGGTTAAGAATCAGCTTCTGGGGCGCCTGGGTGGCTCAGTTGGTTAAGCGACTGCCTTCGGCTCAGGTCATGATCCTGGAGTCCCGGGATCGAGTCCCGCATCGGGCTCCCTGCTCGGCAGGGAGTCTGCTTCTCCCTCTGACCCTCCCCCCTCTCATGTGCTCTCTCTCTCTCATTCTCTCTGTCTCAAATAAGTAAATAAAATCTTTAAAAAAAAAAAAAAAAAAGAATCAGCTTCTGGGTCCAGACACCTCTGGGCTGGGACCCCAGCTCTGCACCTTCCTAGCTGTGTGACTTTGGGCAAGTTACTCCGCCTCTCTGGGCTCTATCTCCAGGTGTAAAATGGGGAGCATTCCATGAGAAAATGCAAATGTGGTGCTGGCTGAGGGCCTGGCCTGCAGTCGGCATTATTGTTATTTACGTGCACCATCTCCTCTAACCCTTTCCTGGCAACCTCCCAAGCACGTGTCACCTCCATTTCCAAGAGGGAAGACTGAGGCCTGAGGGATGGAGCCACGTGTCTAAAAATGCAGATGTCGGTAATGGAGCTCCCCAGGGGCCAGGTGGTCTTCATGCCTCAGCCCCCACCATTCTGCCTTCCTTCTCCAAAGTCCAGAAGCCCAGAGCTGCGGGGTGTCCTCTCTGTCTTATCGGAGGAGGAGTTCCCAACACCCAGGCCCTGAGGGTTTGGGGGCAGCCTTGCTCCCCTCCTGGCCCGGCCAGGCCCCTGAAATGCTGGGATTCCCAGGGTGCTCCTGTCACGTGACTTGCCTCTGTCATTGGGTGGGGCCTGATGGGGAGCAAGTTTCCTCGGCTGTTTTCCTGGAAATCCAGGTCTGAAGAGGTGGGAACTGAACTTGGCCACCTTCCACCTCCGCCGGCAAGGGCGCCCGACTTGAGGTGGGCCAGCCTCCTGGGACTCGCGCAAAAGCCACTTACCCTCACCTCAGTTTCTCCATCTGCCAGACACAAAAAGGACCACATGACCTGGCTTCCTCCATGGGTGGAGGGAGGGGCACTCTCTGTTGGTAAACACCTGGTATGGTGATCGCCCTGGTGGGTGGGGATGCCCTGTGAGGGAGGTTCCGGGTCAGCTGTCCCTGGGCATCCCGTGGTCCCTGGGGAGGTCAGCAGACCCCGGCTGAGGTCCGGTGTGGCTTCAAATACCCCGGAGCAAGTGACTTCCCCTTTTGGGGAAGGCCGGGTGGTAGCAGGGACCACAGCCTCAAGGCCTCAAACTTGGTGTCCGCTTACCACTCTGAGACTCAGTTTCTTCATCTGTCACCAGGGGGTACAATGGCTCTGCCCAGTGCAGCTGGTGAGTGGGGTATCCCTGGAAACAAGAGGCCCTAGGAGGGATCCTGGGTCAGGTGATGGCTGGCCTGGGAAGTAAAGGAAGCTGTGGGGCTGGGGTGGAGGTGGGGGGAAGTGCAAGTCATCTCTCAGAGGGAAGTGGGCCTGGCCATGGGGGAAGGGCTCCGTGATATCCTGGAATGCCCTCATTTCCCAGTCCTGGGGAGCCCTCCCCTTGTGATCAAGGCACCCTGGCCAGGTGCTCCCAGGGTAGCCAGGCCCAGTGACCCACAGCCCCTTCATTCCCATGCAATGCCCTCCCGGGCCTTTGCACCCGCTGACACCCCGCACCAAACCGCACTCTCCTTCTGCCTGCAGCGTCCCCCTCTTCCGGGAGATTTTCTCCAGCAAGGTTCTCAGGCAGCCGGGAGACAGAGGAGAGGGAGGACCACCAGTCACACACACACACACACACACACACACACACACACACACACACTGCCCTGTATTATTCTCTGACCCAACCCGGCTGGGCTGCCAGGACGGAGTTGGCCCCACCTGCTGCCCCACAGGTTGAAGGTGAAGACTCAAGTAATTGACCAAACAAGTCATTGACCAAAGAGATTGGGGATATTCTTTTTCAGAGACGAAAAAGAAGTGGAGGGCAATAAAACCTCCCGTTTTTGCATCTCAGCTCTCTGCTCTGGCAGCCTTTCCTTGAGTCTGACTTAAGTATGTCAAGCTGCATTTCAGACTGGGGGAGAAGCAATATAGCGCAGTGCTTACTAATGGCACCCCGAGCTCCATACCCACTGGCACATGACTGAACCTGTTTTCCTCATCTGTGAAAAGGGAATAATTAAGGAGTACCCATTTCCTAAGGTGGTGTGACGAAATCAGTTAATGCACGCAAAGCACTTAGGACAGAGCTTGGCACCTGCGGAGGTCAACGGAATCAGATGTCTACCCACAGAATTGAAAGCAGGGTCTTGGGTATTTGCTCACGCATGTTCAAAGCAGCATTATTCACAATAGCCAAGAGGTGGCAGCAACCCCAGCGTCCACTGATAAACAATGAGATATTATTCAATATTAGAAAGGAAGGAAAATCGGACACCTGCTGTAACATGGAGGGACCTTGGGGGCATTATGCTGAGTGAAATAAGCCAGTTACAGAAGGATAATACTGTTAGGATTCCACTTCTATGAGCTACTTAGAATAGTCAAATTTATGAAAAGAAAGTAGAACGGTGATTGCCAGGGGCTCAGGGAAGAAGCAAAGGGGAAATAGTGTTATAAGTCCGGGGTCTCATTCTTGCAAGGTGAGAAATGTCCTGGAGATGGATGGTGGGGGTGGTTGCATAATAATGTAAATGTCCCCGAACTGTATGCTTAAAAAGGTCAATATGGTAAATTTGGTTCCATGTATTTTATCACAATTCAAAAAACTGGTCCGCTGTCATGTCTGAGCAGAGGGCAGGGAGGCCAGCGCACATGGGTCCTGGGCTTCTGAGGCCCCGGGTTGCCTGCAAGGAGCTGGCCACTGCTCCTGGCCCAGCCCGGTGCCGGCACCCTTGACTTCTGGGCTGGCCTGGGGAGGTCTGTTGCCAGTCAGTTTCTGCCTGCTGTCCTCTCTTCCAGGTGGAACTGGCCTGGTCTCCCCTGCCCATCCCCTGGGGAGATGGCAAATGGGACAGCAGCTGGCCAGGAACACTCCCAACCAGCATCTGATGCTCATTTCCTGCTGGGGGTGGAATTCTTGGCTGGCCTTTGGCTCCCTCTGGAAGCATCTGGCCTCTTGAGGATGGTTTCCTCATCTATCACGAGGGGTAAGGCTAGTGCCTGCCCCGCCGGCTATCATCCCTTGGCTCTATGCAACCCTGTTTTCAGAGGGTTTCCCTTGTGTTGGGGGCTCCATGTAGGTGACCCCTGACCCTCCTATCTTAACTCAGGAAAGGGGAAGTGACTGGTGCAAGCACAAAGGAGAAGGTGTCTTTTCCCTACTCCTGGCCGTGGAGAGGGAGCTCAGGCAGCCTGCGCGTCGGAGGACAAGGTCGGCTGCCCAGCCCCTGCCCTGGGAAGTGTCCTTCCTGCCTCTGCTGATCAGGATCCTGGGCTGGGGTGGGGGGGATAGTGGGATCTGTGGGCCTGACAACCGCCCCCCACCCACCCATGACTCAGAAAGCTTCAGATTCTCCAGCGATTTCCCAATCTGTTCAGGGTGAGAGGAGGCCTGGCAGGGAAATGTGGGGATTGCACAACGAGGGAGGTCACCGAGGCGATGAGCCAGGAGCCCTTGCTTCTCATCCTCATCGCCCCTATGTGACTGGATGAATTTGGGGACCTGGCCTTTAGTCTCCTCATCTGTTCACTGGGGAGCAAAAGGAATGACCCTCCCAGCCCTGGGGCACTGTGGCTTTGTGAGCTTGTCTGAAAACTGTCACCCTGCACCCCCCTCCCCCAGGGACTCTGGGAAAGAGAGTGTGGAATCCATCTTACTGCCACTTCCTGATGTCCCCCTCCCCACAAGGCCCCCCAGGGACATGACTATGGCCAAGCCCAAAGCTGGCACTTGACTACCACTCCCAAGGAGGAAGAGGAAGTTCTCAGTCCCAAGGGGCACCCCCAGCTCCCCTGCCCCCCACTCCCAGGCCTCAGAGATCTGTGCCCAGCTGATAGGGGGGAGTGGGGAATCCACAGGGAGGGAGAGACCAAGGGTAGGGGCAAACAAAAGGATGGGAGGAGGAGGGGCTCTAGCAATAAAGTAAAAGGGAAGCTGATGCCCAGCTGGGAAATTCCTTAATGACACGGTTCTTTCCAGAGGGCAGGAGTTCCTAAAATGAGAAAGAGGGAAGGGGGTGAGTCCCCAGTGGTTGCTCTTCACCAGCAATAGCCCCCCCAACCCCCACCCCACGACAGACCCAGACAAACGGCCACGCTGAGGAAGGACAAGTCTCCACTGACTGAGATCAAGCCTGAGCTGTTGGGGTCCGGACCTGGTGTGACCCAAAACCTGTTCTGCCCAACCCCAGTCCCAGAAAGGGAAAGTGCTCCAGTGGGAGTCCTGCAGCCGGGTGTGTGACCTCGGGCGAGTTGCAGGTCGCTTCACCTTTCTGAGCCATAGTCCCCTTTCTAGCAAGGCTTGATAATGAGAGCGAATGCCAGGCACCCAGCAAACGTGCTTTTTGTCCACAGCTGTCCTTGCCTGCACCCAATTCCCCTTAGAGCGCCTCTTCTAGCAGGGCCCCTTCCCGGGCCTCCCTGAGTGGGAACGCTCTACCCGGAGGGAGCAATCCTCCCGCGGCCCAGGGAGCTGGGGTGGGACGGTCCCTGGGACCCCGCGGGGCGAGAGTCGGGCGAGCTGGGGTGGGCGCCGCTCTGTGACGCGGGCAAGGGGTCCCGAGCGCGGAGCCCCTTCCGGCCAGCCAATCAGCAGCGGCCGTCGGACAATGGGCCAGCGGCGGGCTGAGCCCGGTCCGCCCTGGGTGCGGTTCCCTGCGCCCCACATACAGCGGCGACGCTCGGCCAGCCGCGCCACCCAGCCCGGGCCGGTGGCAAGGAGTGACACCCCCGCTCCCCTCGGCGGGGCGCGCGCGACTCCGGGCTCGGGGACGCAGGCAGCCCCGGGTCGCACTCGGCCTTGGCCTCCGCCCTCGGGTTTTCCGCGGTTGCCGCGGGCGGGGCGAGCGGGCGGCCGCGCGGGGGCGGAGTCTGCGA